TGGCCTTGTGAGTGAATGCACTGAGTGGGTAACTCTTAGTTAGACACATAGTGCGTATCCCGTCTTGAGTTAGAAGCCGGCCCACTAGCCCCGCGCTATCCGGCAGCACCCGCTCATGATCACCCCTGAACCCTTCAAGCTCTGAACCAAAATTGGATAGCTGTTGCTCTTTATCCAAGGCCGTTGTTGCCCAAGTATCTAAGCAATTCATCAAGATTCCCCGAATTAAGCGGTGGTCAAACATACCCCCTTTTATGATATGCTGTACACATGCGGTGATAGCATCATGTGCCATCCTTGTAACGACTTGTCCTAACTTGGTACCTGCAGCTAGAAGGGTCAGTCAACCTAATATCCATGGTGCCACGAATGAATGGATGGATGGATGGTTGGGTGGGAAGCTATGGACATTGGACCAAACACAGCTCTACTAAACTCCCTAAGCCCTTTTACCACTAAGTAAACCTGGCCTGGAATTCCCTCACAAATGATAAACCACTTTTACATTAACTTCCATGCTTAGGTGACACTGTCTTGACCTCTCTTGTAGCCATGCAGCCGAGCTACTCCAAAACAGTCCTTCTGGTACTGTCTTCCCCTCATAGTCTACCCCTCTCCTCAAGCCCCTCAGTAGCTCTACTTATCATATTGATCATGACAGCTCCTTGCACCAGATAATAACATCTGACTCTCTGTCATGGCTCGCTAGATTATTGTTATACTAGGAACATGTGATACGCCATGCTCAATAAAAGACATCTAGTGCTGGTCGTCGTGGTTATACTCTCCACCATCCTCTTGCTCTGTTCGATCATCGGAGAATAGCTCTTGGGAATTGGTCCAATGACTTTCGGCCATCGATGCGTGACCACGTCAAGGCCAGCGGCTGGACTCACGGCGTCCGGCTTGATCCACCGGACCTCCACCGGCACATCCACCCCCGGCCTGGACCGGCCAACCCCGGGCCTTCGGTTACCTTATCAAGCTTCAGATTATTGGATAGGATTAAGCCCTCCTTGTCTGATTCTCGACTTGACTTGACTTGACTTGACTGGAACAATCAAATAATTTTAGATATTGTTTCAGCAGGAAAAGAGGGCCATTTTGTGGAATAAAATACCCCAACATGAGGCAGAGGACAACACGTCTGTGTAATGACTTGTCGTGGTGTTGGCCAAAGGCCAGGCCCGATTCAAACTTGCGGCCGACCAACCTCCTGGCCATGGATGTTTATTATTCGCCTCCTTAACCTATCGTTCGTTCGCTCTTCATTCCTTCGATGCACAAGGAGTCAGAACCGGTGTTTTACCCTTTAAATCGTGTGGGGGCTATTTCCTTGACTGACGACCTCAAGAGTAGTAAATCAACCAACCGTACTACTAGAAAGACCAATATCCTCAACTCATATTCTTGTATGTGACTACTTCAATCATTGTGGGAATCGTCCTGGTAAACAATAGCCATTCTGGCACCATCTTAATGCTGTCCACGTCTTTCATGGTCCCATCACTCCATGCTTCTCATTCTTTCACCCAAGCTAGAATAGCTCTGGGCACACGAGACCTACCTAAAGTGCGGGGCGATTTGGTACTACACCAACCCTTTTTGGTCTGTTGCACATTCGCGGCTGCGGCGGATTGGCTTCACTTGGTGGCCTCAGCCCTGATCATGTCTTTGGTTCAAATTTCGATTTCTGTTGGTGGCAGATACACACGCAAATCTGTTGGCTACCTTCACAATAGTTTACATATCCACATCCTCCCGTATAATAAATATTGTCTTTTCTTTGACTGTCTGGCGTCTTATCTGTCCATCCATCACGGATAGGGTATTGAGGAGTACTGAAAATCCATGACGGAATTGGCCCCGTCGTGGTAGTCCAATATCAAGAAATTGAACTGCTAAGAAATGCAGATTCCATCGCAAGACCCCCCCGGATCTTTCTCAAAATGCCTGGTCGTGGCTTTCCCATTAAGAAGCGTTGGCTGTCTAGACCAAACAAATCTATAAGCAGATTCCATCCAAACTTAACCTTGGCAAAAACAACCATCAAGCACTGGGGGCAAAATAGAACAGACTCGCTGAGTGACAGTAGGGAGAAAAAAAAAACAAATAGGAAAGTATGGGTCAGGTTGAAATGACCCATCAAGACGACATTCACGTCTCGGACCCGATGTTGAACGCCCCATGTTTTGGTTGCAAAAACAAGCGACAGCGAACACCCCAGGCATTCCAAGTTACTACCGAATCGTCTCAACCCCAACGACGATGTTGTATCGTCGTAGGGCGAGCCGGCATTTGGTATCCATCGCAGCTTCGGCCCCTCGCCGACTTGATCGACGATAGGTCTTACATAATGTCCCAGACATCTTCAGCCGCATGGCAGAACTTGCTGCAAGCAACACTAGCAGACAAGGAGTAGTTGCTGATGGAGATCTTTTCGTCAACAAGCGCATCGGCGAAGTTATCCTCACCCTTAGCCATAGCACCAACGAAGACACAGATACTATCCTTGGAATCCACAGATTCGACATACTCACGAACCTTGACAAGTGGTGCATCGAAACTCAGAGTAACCTTGCGGCAGTTGGGAGGCAAGTGGTCTGTGATGGGGTTCTGGATCACTCGAAGCAATTTCTCGTTGGAGTTGGTGGAGCGGATGGACAGGCGGTGCAAGAGTTGCACCATCAGACCGGCAAATCGCTTGAATGTTCGTGGAATACGGACTGAGGGCGAGACCTCAATCAAGACACCCTTGGCGGTATGGATGTAAATCTGAAGCTTGCCGGCCTTGTTGATAGGCGAATCCAGAAGGGTCAGTAAACACTAGGAGAAATGGTCAGCATGTTGAATGCCGACTCAGAAGATCAGAGTTGAAACCTGATGGGTGATGTCGGGACGAGCATCACTAATGTCCCGATTCATCTTGCGCATGACACCGATATGTTCATCGCTGTTGAGCAGAGAGTACTTGTCCTCCCGGTTGCGGCTGGTGCCCCCGTGAGAAGCCTTGTACGTCTCAAGACTGGCATTGGACAGGACGACGATCAGACGCTGAGAGTCCTTGTCTGTGGGAGGGATGGGTGTGCTCTGCTCGGCAACCAACTGAGGCAGCGAGGGGGGAGGGAGAGATTGTGTGCCTATATTTTCCGACATGTCAATGACGACTCTGTAGGAATTGCAGGTCGAGTTCTTGGTTGGCTCTTACGAGGTCGCTTGACTCCAGCAGTTCGACGCTCGGGCGAAGACATGATGAAGGAGAAGACAGAGAGAGAGTGCGCGAGAGAGTGCGAGAGAGAGAAATAGGTAAGTGGGGGAGTTGAGCTTGGATGTTGGTTACTCAAGATTGTCTCGAAACAGTCACGGACAGACAAGACAGTATGAATCAGTCGATACTGAACAGTGAGTTACCGAAACAGTATGACTGTGTGCTATGTATGTGTTTGTTGTCGGTTGAATTGAAGCTTGTCGCGTGCAGGTCAAGATAAAAAGGAAGAGTGAAAATTAGTCTCTGAGAAAAAAAAAGCGGCACTCACAATAAACAAGGTGCTATTGAGCCCTGAGGCCAAGCCAAATTCTGAAGGTAGCGGCCCCCACATCTCGCCGAAGCTCACGCACTGTCAGCGGGTCCCGGATGCCGAACGGGCAGGACATGCGGGTTCGGAGTATTTCGAAGGATGGAATCGTTGTATAATGACCGATAATTCCCTCAAAATAGGCGTTTTTGTACTCAATATGGTCTCACATAACACTTAAAAAGACAATCATCTTATTGACTCGTTCCCCATTGCCTAGCATCGCGGCTAAATGACTTCTCGCTTAGAAGTTGCCAGGCACGAGGATATCGTCGAGTCGTGTGAGGTTCTATCCAGCCAATCGGCGGGGCCCAGATCTTAGAAAACTTACATAATCACTCTCACACCCTGTACCGTTCCTCATTGGCTACCGAATTTTAGAGAGCCTCGACGAGTTGGGTTGGATATCGAACAATTGACCTTGACGAGCAACCGTTGAATCGGCAACGTTTCAGGCCTGCCAAACAAGTGAGCCAACACTCAACTGGACAGAAGAGACACATTCATCATGTCTTCTCCAGTAGCAAAGGCTGCGCGCCGTGTGACACACGAGCTTCATGGTGTTGTTGTCTCTGCTGGCCTAATGGACAAGACTGTCAAGGTCCGAGTCGGCGGTCAAAAATGGAACAAGATCGTCAACAAGGTGAAAGAATTTGTTAAGCGCAAACTAGAATCAAGAAGACAGGCTAACAATACATATCTAGTGGTTTGCTGACCCTAAACACTATCTCGTCCACGATCCCAACTCATCCCTTCGAACCGGTGATGTCGTTTCCATTGTTCCTGGATGGCCAACTTCCCAGCACAAGCGTCACGTTATCAAGCACATTATTGCTCCCTATGGAACTCCTCTCACAGAGCGCCCTCCCGTACCCACGTTAGAGGAAAGGATAGCGGACTACGAGGCTAAGAAGGCCAAGAAGGATGAGCGGAGGGCATCCAGAAGGCAAGAAGAGGAGAACAAGAGGCAGGAAGAGAAGCGATTGGAAAACGAAAAGAAGGAGGCCAAACGTAAAGCATGGGAGGAAGCTCAGCAAAAGCGCAAACCTCAGACCTCCGCAAGCGACGTCGATTAAACTTATTTAATCTTGGTATTACGACACATGACTGCAGCTATCTCCAGGCGATGAGATAGGAATGGACAATCCGGGATACTTGCTTTTTGGGTCAAGGCGATAGGAACAGAGGGCTAGAACAGCTAGGTTCTGTACGATATCACACGGGATGGTTGTGGCAACAGAGAAGGAGTTGCTAAACCAATTGTACCATTTGTAACATATAAATGACATACTAGACATTCAGCCCGTTTACAACTCCTATACCCGTACCCCATTGTCGGACCGGGTTGTGTTATCCATGATGCTCCTGCGCGTATAATGTACCTGTGCCTTTTTGTTACATGTTGTATACCAGGATAATTGCAGTCTATCCTCCCCTTTCTCCAAACTCTGTCGCCCAGTCTTCATACTCTTTCAGACCAGCTTTACTAACACTCGGTCGTATGGTCGTCAAGCTCGCCTCGAAATCGGACAATTGAATCGGCCGGATCTCGTCCATAGTCATATGTAACAGTGCCTCTCCAAGGGATCGCAGTGGTCCCATAGCTGCATCCTTAGCCAAGGCTGTAATATCTGAACCTGAAAAACCTGCAATCATAAGTCAGTTGGGTTCACATGAAACGTATGGAAGAACTGCCTACCATCTGTTAATTCCACCAACTTGAGGATATCGTCATTAGACAAGTCATGTTTTTGCTGGCCCAGAAGGGTCCTGAACTGTGTCTCGCGAGTAGTCGGTTCAGGTAACGGGATATATTGTCGTCGCACAAAACGTCTTCGAGCCGCCTCGTCAATTGCCCAGGGGAGGTTTGTCGCCGCCAACACAAGGACTCGGTTGGCGTCCCCCCTTTCCTTGTCTTTCTCGGTGGCTTCTCTTCCAGCAGCAGCACGTTGAAGATCGCTCCACTGAATAAGAAACTCTGTCTTAATCCTCATGGTGGCTTCGTGCTCTCCAGACCCTGATCTCTGTGACAGCAGCGAGTCGATCTCGTCCACGAAGATAATACTGGGTGCCAGTGTCCGGGCCAACCCAAAAAGAGCCCGCACCAGTTTTTCTGACTCTCCCAAGTATTTGCTTGTTAGGCTGCTTGCCGAAATCGAAAAGAATGTCGACTTAGACTCTGTTGCCACAGCCCTCGCGAGCATAGTCTTTCCTGTTCCTGGCGGTCCAAATAAGAGCATTCCTCTGGCTGGTTCTCGAAGTCCCATGAAAAGATCAGGCCGTAAAAATGGATAAACAACAGTCTCTCGAAGTGCGTTCTTGGCAATTTCAAGACCGGCCACATCACTCCAATGAACCTCATCTCCTTGAACGACAATATCGTTCAATATTTGCTTGGCGGCTGCGGCATCGACGCCAGCGGGCAGGTTCTTCAAAATTTGCTTCTTTTTGTTTTTCCATTCACTCATGTCGTCAGAAGACTTCGCTAAGGTCTCTGATTCGGACGCATCTGAATCGTCCTCTTGGGAACCGGCTTCTATGGGAGCTTCTTTTTCCTTCACCCGACGTGGTCTGGAAGTTGTCCCAGTTGTGTTATCATCAGACGCGCTTGAGGTGGACACTTGCCGAACTTTGCGTTCACGCCGTCGTGACCTATCTCTGCTCTCAGCATGAGGCCTCGAAGGTTTCAAAGACCTTCCAGGCTGCCTCGCTGCTGGACTGCGGGTTGGTAGGTTGTTTGACGCACTTCTCCTCTCTGATGCCTCTCCAGAATCGTCGCCGGTCTCAGTATCGTTGGCTCGCTCTTGTCTCGATACTTTGCGCGATGATGGCGAAGCGAATCCGTTGCGCGAGTTGGACAAGCGATCCGTTCGACTTGTATAAGCGTCCGATGAAGGTAAATCTTGATACGAGGACGAGTTTAACGCACTGGAAGCAGCAGTGACCGATAGCATGGATGGGCGGGCGTAACAGTACTCATCAGAGTGCCGTGTATTTCCTGAAGATTCTCCATCAAGATCGCGGTCCTTTGGCACAACCAAACGTCTCGAGTGACTATCCCATTGCGTTGGTACTGGCCTGCGAATTTGGTCCAAGGAAGTGCGAGAGCTAGGACTCGCTGTTGCTGGAGTGGACTCCGACTGGGTCCCTCTTGCGAATCTATCCCTTGAACCGAGCGCGCTCCATGCCAAAGTCGCTGCTTTGCTTGATCCTTCGGCGAGAGGCTTCGCTTGCTTTCGCGGTTTGGTGGACTTTTCTCCTAATTTCCCTGAACGTAAAGTTGTCCTCATGGTGTGTTTTTCTGGGCTCGGCGTCCGTAAAGTCTTATTCGGTCTTGGTGGCAGAGCTGGTCCTCCAGGTGATGCAGATCGAGAGAGCGATGGGAAGGCCATGTTTGGATCTAGGTGTGTGCTGGGTCCATCTACGATAGCAAGTTCTGATGATGTGCGTCGGGGTTGTGATGGACGGTGTGGGAGGGTTGGTCTTGATAGTTCAGAATACTGCATGGCGGTGATTGTGCCCTGTCCAAGAGAACCTCTTCCCTCAGGAATACTTGGTCGCTTTGTCAACTTGCCGGGTGGTGGTTGCGGTATGGTCGTCTCTTCTTGCCGCGAGATTCTGAGAGCTTCGAGAAGATCGATTCGTTCTTTGCATTGTAATTCGAGCTGTTTCAGAGCTTCTTGTAAGGCTTTCTCGGTGTCTGTACGTGGGCCATATGCGGGGGGTGCCCGATTTGCATTGTAATCATAGATCTGATCAAGGGCAGCTCGCCAATGTCGCATGGCTTCTGTTTCACTCCCCTAAGATCCAAACCAGTGATTAGCAAATAATTGATGAAAGCGCAATGGCCAAGCCTTACCTGGCCTTCATAGTAAATAGCAGTTGAGCAACTTAGATAACTATCATCGTAGGTCTTCTGCAAAACAGCCAGGGCCCTGTTCCGTAACATGGCTCCTGCGGCAAATCACTACCATAGTAGCCCAGAGACTGGCTTCACTTGCGCCCTAGCCCGCCGACTGTTAAAGACTGCCGTGATGTTGACTGTTATGTGTTTGGCGAGCAGAGCAGATCGTGAAGCTTGTCTAGGTGGGGACGCGTTTGGGCTGAGCAGTTGAGTTAATGAGCCAATGCCTTGGAATAGCAAGTCGCGCACGTTGTGATGTCAGGTGTGGTTCAAGAAAAGACGTGATCGAGTCAAGGTCGATGGTCTAAGGCTCTGTCTCTGCTGATGATAGTTAAACGTGATCAAGTTGATCGACCTGCATACCTGACATGGATTAGCAGGTTAAACTTGGGCAGGCGGTGACGTAGTCCAGGATCGCACCGCCCACCCTAGTCGCAATCGATGGTGGCGGGGTAGATAATGAGCCTCATACATGCTAATGAGATCCGATAGAGCATCCAAGAAGAGCTGTGGAAACATGTGAGGCCAATCGTTAAAGAATGGTTCAGGCCGTTTGCAGAGAAATTAATTTGATAGTTGGGTACTCGAGTGATTAGGTAGTTGTATAATTTTGCAGCATCTGCTCAGTTATATATCTAGCTTGTCTACATGCTTACTCCTGGGCCATGCACGTCGCCCCTTTTATCTATGAGAGCAATACACGAATCTCGGCGGTTGTTCTAGGGAAAACCGACCGTAGACCTTCGTCCTCTTCTGAATCGACAGATTCATCTTCACACTCGGTTATAACCTCTTCAAGCTGTTCAAAGTCGTTGCAGAACTGTTCTGCTGCCTCCTCAGTAATTTGTCGAGCTAGCTTCGAATCCTGGAGATGTTTCAGATTATCCATAGCGTCCATAAGTGCTGATGGCAGAAAGTCATCCAATATCTGGCTTGCTTGAGCGAGCTCTTTCTCATCCAGTAAAGCAGCGCTCTTGTCGTCATCCTCCTCCAGCTTCGTGAAAATGGCATCCAATCCTGACCCCTTTCGAAGGAATTGGTATTGACTTGTAATGAGTCCTTTAGCCGCATTATCTGACTTCTCTCGCAGTCGTTTAGTTCGACGTTGCGTGAACTCGAATGGCTCCAAACATGCTATCGCAGAAGAGATACAATTAATCAGGAAGATCGCACCATTCTGGGCGTTCATGTTCTTAGCCATGTTTTCACAACCGGACATGAATGGTTCAAAGGCTTCCGAAAGCACATTCTCAAACTCGCTCTCGCGATCCTCTGAGGTAGATAAGGAGGAGTCGTAAGTTTTGCTGATGGCCTTGAGTTGTTTGAGCGAATCTTGTAAAAAGGCAGGGGGGCCAAGGTCTAATGGAGCGTGCTGGAATTCTCCCTGCAGAGTTGCAATGTGATCTCTGACAAGTGCTCGGAACTGGCGCAAGGCCTCTGTTTCCAGGCCTCCAATCAACTCTACTAAGTTAGAATTGGGACCAAGTGTCTTTTGGAAAGTGACACGGTAGAAATTGATAAGATTTGCGAGTTTATAGGCGGGTATGGTGTCTTCGTTGGCTTGGATCACCTGCTCCATTCTTTGGCGAAGCACGCGAGCCGCTCCAGAGATATCACGGTCGACTAGGTCGTTCAGTGCCTTCAGCGCATTAAAGTCAGCCTCGGCCTCGTCGTCCTCTGCAATGAGGCGCCAGATCTCTGCGTCTCGGCCAGATTTGAAGCCTTTGGCAAGTTCCTCTCCCTCTGCGACAAACAAGACCTCCAATGCCTCACGTTCGCTGACAGTGGCTGAATGAATCCAAGCCAGCATGTCACCGACGTAGCGTAGCGGATCATGTGCTAGCATGTCGATGGGCTTGACAGAGGGATCTTCAGTTCCTGAGGGTGAGGCACCTGTCAAAGCAACATAGAATGAGTCTGAAAGGATTCGTTCTCGAGCCTCGGAGAAAAAGTCGAGGCAGTTCTGGAACAGTGATGGCCTTTCGGCAAGAACACGCAATGCCCGGCGAATTGATGAGTTCATCTGCGGATTTTCGAGATTCAATGTCTTGAACTCTCGCTGTATCCATTTGTAAAGTTTTTGGAAACCGAGATTGATGTTCTTCGACGTTTGCTCCATCAGTTCTAGACCCAAAGTCTGCTTCTCGAACCCAAGCAGGATCTCGCAGTCCTTGCTGATCTTTTTCGCTTTGCTCAAGGCATCGAAGAAGCGGTCATCTACTGGCTCGGCTGTTTGAGTAAGTGCGGCAACTTCATTCTCCGACATGACGAAATGCTTCTTGAAAGCACCGAGAAGCTCTTGCTTCACCTCAACCTGTCTCTTTTGCTCCAGGAGAGAAGATGCCTCGGAGAGTGCTGGCAATGTTTGCCTGTGAGCTTCGACAACTTGGCTTTTCATGTCCTCGTAACCATTGTTAAGCTTGTCAATAGTCGTTTTGATACGCCGAAGTTGCTATTGCCATGTTGGTACGTTTCTTGTATAACAAATGTTTGAACCCACCTCTGCAACACGCCCGAATTCGGCAATCACTTCTCCATTACTGTCAATGACTTCTTTTTGCAGGTCTAGCCGAACACGCCGACGAGTTTCAGCATCGTTCTGGATTCCACGCTCATCAAGAAGAGCGAGAGCATCTCGAAACTCAGTATCAGAATGAGTCGTTGAAAGGACACTGGTCACTTTGGATGTGAGTGGAGTAATCCCTCTTGGTGTTGAGGGAGTTTGTGGGTAGCCGTCTGGAGCAAGGAGTCCTGATCCAGAGGCATCTCTCATAGGCAGGCTCTTCAATGACAATGAGCGATCTGTAGGTGTCATATTGTAGTAAAACAGCAATAGTGCTGTTCAGTCGAGTTGCTGCCGCAGGCAAACTTTAACTCATTCCGCGCAAGTCCATGAATCGATCAAGCTCGATGGAGCACCTGAGTAAATCTGTTAATTTGGATTCTGAAACCAAAAGCGATCACGAGCAATCTCTATGAAGATAGGTAGTCCGTATAAGACAAGGACGATCATGTATAGTGCAAGGTGTCGTAAAGGGTGCATGGAAGAGGAAGGCGGTGTGTAATCACTCATTCTTATCGGTATTTGTCTGGCAGAATCGCACACCGCTCTGTAGCGTCATACCAGCGGCTGGTGATGCCTGGAGCATTAAACTGTCTGTCTATCCATCAACTTGCAAGTGATTTATTCACTTTTATTTCAGGTCAGAGGCGCAGGGATACTCTGTTGTCTCAAAGTTCTATTTGATTAGACTCTGTCATACCGGACTATTCCCTTGCTTGGAGTAGGCATGTGCCTCGGGTCACGCTTATCGTGATCAACGTCCCCTCGTGACCTTGGGTTACCTATCCTCCATATTTGCACTGACATTCGGCGGATAAAGTTACATTCATCATACTTGCTTGATACTAAGTTCAACACAGCCCGAGTCCCATTCTTTCATCATCAAGGTGGAAGCAACTCCTGCTCGTCTCGCATTTACGGCAAGGCAACATCCCAGCATCAACATCATTAATCGCCTTGGAGCCTTGACCCCGAACCAATATGCCCACCGATCTTCACACTTGATACATCGACAGAACTCGATATGTCCTCAAAATTATTCTCGCGATCGAATTTACCTGCGAGAGGGTCTCGATCGTTTTACGAACAACTACGTTCTGGAGATGATGACGAGTACGATCCCGGCATCGACGAAGAGAACCTTGGCCATCGATTTGATGACGATTTTCATCCCGAAGGACTCGAAATTGGCGACAGCCGCATGACAATAGAAAGCGCAGCTCTAGACCCAAAGGGCAAAGGAAGGGCTACGACACTAAGGAAACAGATTCAAAGTCCCGGCGGACCGTCGCCGCGATGGCACCAGCAGGACGACGACGGTGATAACGAGGTACCTGCATCTTTACTCATGGAGCCAAATGAAGCAGTAAACCTGCTCCCAACATCGCCCAGACGAGCGGTCCCATCCAACAATCCTCGAAGTCCAGAAGCTGCAGGCCCATCATCAGCACGGGCCAGGGCCCAGTGGGAAGCAGCAACAGCTCAGCAGCAGCTTCATCAAGAAAACAGATATGGGGCGCCTACTGGACCACAGCCTATGCCCGTGGCCAGGGGCTCGATAGCGAGTAACCCGAGGGAGAAAGCACTCTGGCGATGGGTTAACACCTCAAACCTGGACAGCTTTATGCGGGATGTTTACGACTATTATGAAGGTGGGGGACTGTGGTGCATTCTGTGTGCTAACGCCCTCTGGCTTCTGTAAGTATTCAGCCATAAAAACACAAAACAGCAGCGGCTAACCGGTGGTTTAGGGAGACACTTTTCGTCGCGGTGTTACTCACTTTCCTGTGTCAATGCATCGACTATTCAAAGATTCCACACAGCAAGTCCTTACATGAAGTTGTAGTTCCTCAATGCACCCGCAGAATGTCCGGTCTCTGGAACTTGGCGATCTGGCTTTATACCTTCTTCTTCATCTGGAAGTGCGTACAATACTTTGTGGAGATTCGTCGCCTCCTTTACATCAGGGACTTTTACATTTACTTGCTGGATATCCCAGAACAAGACATGCAGACTGTTTCCTGGCAGGATATTGTGGCTCGCATTATGGCGCTGCGTGAACAGAACCCGAAGACTGCAACAAACATCACACCAAAACTGAGACAGTTCATTGGCAGCCAGTCGAAAGAGCGGCTTGATGCACACGATATTGCTAATCGACTTATGCGCAAAGAAAATTACCTTATTGCCATGATCAACAAGGATGTCCTGAACCTGTCGTTGCCAGTTCCGTTTCTTCGCGGCCGGCAGCTATTTTCAAAGACAATGGAGTGGTATCTTCATTACTGCATCCTTGATATGGCTTTCAACGAATTGGGCCAAGTTCAGCAGGACTTTTTGCGTCCCGATCGCAGACGTCTCTTAAGCCAGAAACTGAAGCAGCGCCTGATGTTCGCGGGGTTCCTCAATCTCATCTTTGCGCCAGTTGTGCTTGCATATGTTGTCATTGTTTACTTCTTTACTTATTATTATGTCAGTAGTTGAGCCCAGACAATCTATTCTTTGAGAGCTAATTCCGTTACAGGAGTACACAAAGGATCCCAAGCAAGCTGCAGCACGCAAGTACACTTCTCTTGCAGAATGGAAATTCCGCGAATTCAACGAACTGCCACATATATTCTACGAAAGGCTGCACATGTCGTATCCGTTCGCGACTCGGTATATTGATCAGTTCCCCAAGAGAATGACTGAAGATATTGCGCGAACCATCGCCTTCATGACAGGTGCAATTACCGCCATTCTCGCTGTGGGCTCTATTCTCGACTCGGAGATTTTTATCAATTTCGAGATTACGAAAGACAGACCAGTCCTATTCTATCTCGGAATCTTTGGTGCCGTTTGGGCAATCACCCGAGGAATGGTGTCTGAAGAAACATTGGTGTTCAATCCTGAATATGCCTTGATGAATGTCATTGAATACACACACTATATGCCTGATCACTGGAAAAACAAGCTTCACAGCTTCGAGGTTAAACAGGAATTTGCAGAGCTTTATAAGATGAAAGTGGTCATCTTTCTAGAGGAGGTGATGGGCATAGTCACCACGCCTATGTTGCTCTTGTTTTCACTGCCTAAATGTAGTGACCAGATCGTCGATTTCTTCCGCGAATTCACAATCCACGTTGATGGACTCGGTTATGTCTGCTCGTTTGCGGTATTCGACTTTCAGAAAGGGCCAGGTAATACGGGCCATCAGGGACAACGACCGGATGTTCGGGAGGATTACTACTCAACGAAGCACAACAAGATGGCCGCATCTTACTTTGGGTTCCTTGACAACTACGTTACAAACCCCAAAACTGGCATCCCCGGCCATATGCCGTTTGGAGGAAAACCAACCTTTCACCCACCTCCAGCTTTCCCGGGACTTGCTTCTCCATCATTAGGAGCAGACATGCAGGGTTCTCATATTGGTCGGGCGGAAACGGGACGTGCCAGGAGTAGAGCACCCGGTGGACGAGGTCCACGTACGGGACCAATGCCACAGCCCTCCCCAATGGCGTCTATCCTGTTAGATCAACATCATCAACCTGCTGGGGTGAACATGGGTGCACGTAGTCTTCATTGGTCAAGGTATCCGCGAGGATTTCGTGGGGAAAGCCAGATAAATGAAGAAGCTGAAGATAGCACCATGAGGCGAACTGGGGAAGATGACGAATTGTACGAGCCAGGGGGAGAACTAGGTGAATCGACCTGGGAAACGTCACCTGCGAAAGGGGTGACTCGGGAGAACAGTGCAGCCAATACAGACGATCCTGGCGAAGGAGTATTGGGTATGATATACCAGCTTCAACAAACGCAGCGATCCCGGCGCGGCGGGGGCATGGTCTGATATAGAACATTTCTCGGGGTTTTCATTTATTCTTCTTCCTATTTCTGGTGAAACACATGGTGTCAAGGCGCATACTGGACGTCATCTCCCCGGAATACCCTACTCCTTGGAAAACGGAGGTGGATTTTATTGGCGCTTGCATAGATTGGGCTTTGTTTATTGCGAGTATCTGTCTCATGACTGGTAGTGACAAGTTTCGAATAGGAGCGTCGGTTAGTATGCTTGGGTCACAGGAGTAGACTTTTGGGTATATATGAATAAGTGCACTACATTTAGAGTAAAAGATTGTGCCCTTCATCGAGATCTCATTCTTGAACACTGTACAGACTGGTTTGCTACTCTTAGGTCTATTCGACAAGACAAGCAAACAGATTCCAGCGAAGATATCGGGCTTGGGGCTATAAATCCAAGGTCATGACATGTGCCTCCGAATAACGACGAGTCCTGTTTGATGGTAATACCGAGGTCGTTGGCACAGACAAACACAGTCAACGGGAAGCCCCTTGCACGGGTGACTACAGGGCAAACGAAGGAATCTGCCCTCAAGGCGGGAAAAGAAAGATTTAGAAGAGGGTGTGATATTGATGAAATTTGGGACTGAGCTTATTCAGACGAGACCAGCGAGATGGAAACACAGACACACACGAGTCGTAACTTCAAGTGCCTGATAAGCGAGAGTCAAACAAGGAACATCTGTGTTGCAATGCGTTTTCGTCAATCTTAAGTGACTGGGTCACTCTGAACCTGCTTGGCTGATGACCATTTCCCAAACGTGTTTTTGCCGTGGAACTCCTAAAGGGTACGAGAAAAGACGGTTGCATTTATCCAGTTTGAGGACTGATTGATTACAGAGAATGGGTCCCCGAACTGATTGATAACTTAATTCCAATGTGTGTGGCCCCTGTCATGCCCTGATCCCTGGGTTGCAACCAGGCTCATGATTCGGTGAAAGATGAGATTCAACTGCAAGTCCAGTTGGATGGATGGGTACAGCACACCCTGATGCCTGTGGGATGAGTGAATTTCCAAATTATTTTATTCAGAAATGTTTTCCTGCTATATGTAGGCAAGCTCATCTATATCAGTACTAAACGAAAATCTGACCAACGTCGCCTGCCGTGCCATTGTTAGCCGTTATAAGCTTCATACGCTTGTTTTCCTTTAACATAGGAAGCACTTGACATGCTTTTTGTCGAATGGAGAATAAGATGTGAATGGATACGTCTTGTGATCACGATGCCTCCATGTCAGTCATGGGTGCTCTGTCTCTCCAGCCACGGACTTACTTCAGATCTGCAACACAGTAGGCACTGAATATAGGTGTATAATGAAAGAAGAAGATAACATCTCTTCTAGTATCTTTCTCTGGTCCTTGTTCCAGCCCGATATTTATATTTCCTGTCATGGCATGCTATTAACCTCGGCAACTATTCGTGTAAGCTAAAGATCGATACTGATCTTGATCTTGATTCCAAACCCGACGAGACGGTTACAGGGATTATGATATGATATGAAGTGACGCTGATCCACTCTGCAAATAAGCAAATTGGCCCGTTTACGTACAGAGATGAGCATCTAGTCTAGCGTAGATAGCCTTTCTACCTCTGTATGACCTGCCACGCCTGTTTTGGGCGCCAATGCGCGCTGAGAAAACGATGAACTGTATCCAGAGAGAACCGAAAGACCCGGATTTCAGTAGGCTATACAGGCTAGGAGGTATGGATACAAACAGAGTGTTTGTTTGTAGCTGTTGTTAAACATGTCAGGCCTCAATTTGGAGTTCAAAGTTGTGTAACAGAGCCAGCAAACTGCAGTAGTAGAGATGAACTTGTGATTACTAGGCCAAGTTCAACAGATGGCAATTATAGTCCCTCATAACTGCTTCGGCGGTAGATAAACTGATAATGGATACAACTGCACTTCCGCGGGCATATAAGCGCAACAGGAGATGACGGAGAATTGGACAACATCAAGTACCTCTCCTCACAATTTGGCAGTGGAAAATACCTCGCTGGAGGCAAGATAGGGCACGTTTGTTATCTGAGCCGGCGCGCCGAGCTCCCTGAACCACGCTAGTTCAACTAGAGGAGGGGAGGGGAGGGGAAGACATGCAGAGAGGTAAGGTAGCTTTACAGCAATAATTTGACGGAAGGGTACTTGCTGTAGCTCCCGTCCGGACTCCGAGGCCGTAAACGGAGCTGTCTCATCCCCAGAAAAAAAATTCTAGATAATATCCATTGGACTGGACATTGTACAGAAGGTAGCTCCAGAGCCTACAGGTACTTAACCAGACTTGGAGTTTTTCCCGCGCTGCCTTTAGTAGGTAGAACACCACCACCACCAACCTCTGAACTGCTTTTTTGCTCCATCGCCTCCGCTCGGCTTTGGACTTCTTTCTTGCATTTTCTACCTACCTACCTTACCTTTAACTGCCGGCGACAAGACTCATCATTCATTAATCGGTGTATTCGAATAGACCGAGGCGAACGAAGAATAGGCTCGGACATAGCAACCACTTTGCACGGTCTTTTCAGCTCCAGCAAGTCGAGGTCATATTTTCGCCCCTACGTAGTAGGCCCTATCTCAACTTCGACATCGTCATCGTTTTAGCGACCATCCGTTGGCGCAACTCCATATCTTGAACCTCCTGCAGCCCCGTACACGACATAGCCGACTCGATCTACGGCACAAATCGCTCGCCGCCACTTTTATAGCAGCAATTGCCTCGATACCTCCTCCAGTCGCCAACCTGGCGGCCCTCGAGACCAAGCCTTTCGGCGGAGCATCGGAAGCTGTGGCCGCCATGGCCCAGCCAAGTGCAGAGCCAGTCGAAGAATACGAGTGAGTATAACTCAAACATCCTCATCAAGATGGACATATACACCCCAGGGCCTCAAAATTGACTGTTTTTCGCACAGCTATGAATCTCTCCCGCCCAACTTCTCCCTGCTGCAGAACATGGCAGCAGGCGCCTTTGCGGGTATAGCAGTATGAAACCTTCCGACAAGCAATACAAGTTATACCGGGCTAATTTTGCGTCTTCTTGTAGGAGCACACTGCCATGTATCCCATTGATGCAATCAAGGTATGTTGCTACACTGCGATATGTGCGTGCTTGATTTGTCGATCTCGAATCTGACAAAATTCTTAGACACGAATGCAAATCCTCAACCCCAGCACCACACCGGCCTACTCGGGCGTCATTCGTAATACCGTTCAGATCGCCCGTACCGAGGGATTCTTCAGCTTATGGCGCGGCATGTCTAGTGTCATAGTTGGAGCTGGTAAGTCAACCACGTCATGGCCAGGCCACAAGTCTTGCTGTCTTGGCCTATTCTTGATCGTTGCTAAAACTGTTTAGGTCCTGCACATGCTGTCTACTTTGCAACATACGAAGCAGTCAAACATGCTATGGGTGGTAACCAGGCCGGTGTTCACCATCCCCTCGCTGCTGGTAAATATCCGATCTCTGCCCAGTTTGCGATCTGACAGCTACTAACTGAGTTTCCATAGCCACCAGTGGTGCCGCTGCTACTATTGCTAGCGACGCGTTCATGAACCCTTTCGATGGTACGCCGCCTACGCCGCATCCTTTCGAGCATCTAGAAAATGGTCGCTGACAACCCGTTACAGTCATCAAGCAGCGCATGCAGATTCAAAATTCGAGCAAGATGTACCGATCCATGCTGGACTGCGCCAAATATGTCTACAAATCGGAGGGCTTGGGCGCTTTCTACATCTCTTACCCCACGACACTGTCCATGACAGTCCCTTTCACAGCTCTACAGTTCCTCGCATACGAGTCTATTTCTACCGCCATGAACCCCGCAAAGAACTACGACCCCTTGACACATTGTTTGGCCGGTGCTGTTGCTGGTGGATTTGCTGCTGGTCTTACCACCCCCATGGATGTCATCAAGACTATGCTCCAAACTCGCGGAACTTCCACCGACCCCGAAGTGAGAAGCGTCAACAGCTTCCTCGGAGGCTGCCGCCTATTATATCAAAGAGCCGGTGTCAGAGGCTTCTTCAAGGGTGTGCGACCTCGCATTGTTACCACAATGCCCAGCACAGCCATCTGCTGGTCGGCGTATGAGTTTTCAAAGTACGTGACATAACTGATACATTTGGTGAACTGAAGCTAATATTTAAACCTAATCAGGTCCTATTTCATCAAGCGCAACGATGCTGCCTGAACATCTCGACCAAATCTTGGAAAAGCTGGATGACCGAACCTCAACTCCGTATAAATTTGCAACCATATTCGAAACCCTGCGATTATCTTCATGAGAGATGGATTTGGGAGCGAGGACGCTTTAGAGAGCATGGATATGGGACTGAGACGACTACAACGACAACATCCGAAATACTCTTGAACAATTACCTTTTGATTCGACGCTTCCTCGATTCGGTTCGAGCCCTTTATACCGAGGACATCTACCGACTTTGCAAATGACCACGACTGTCCGAAGGACGACGGTTGAGTGAAGATCGAGGCAAGCGACGGATCGTGTACATAAAGAAACATCATCACTTCTTACGAACGGAAAAATCAGAGAGCGGCGACATGGATGGGAAACGGATGAGGTATTGCTAGTGTTCATTCATGCAGTTAGACAGCGGAAGAGTGTTATGATAGGTTGTCTGTTATTACTTATGTCAAAATACTAAGCGGATATGCTTTGGCATCGTACAGTTTCCAACTGGCCTTGGTTCTCACATTATCTTGGATCTATCACCAGCTGTGACTATTCCGATTGGAGTGATGAGTCTGTTCTGTTCTTACAGGTGGCAAAGCGTGCCCGTTGCGATGTCGCTGTTGCGCCGACGTCGGCGGTAGTAATATTCTACCGAGGCCGAGCCACCACACTTCATCAAGTTACTAAAAACTAGGCAAATCAATTGACAGATTGATTTGTCTTGGCTGCTTGCGGCATAAAGGTATAATTCTCAATGTATACGATCTCGCTATATGTACTGTTCTTGACGGAAGTGAGCGATCTACGGAAACTCCGACGCCATTAACCCCTATACTCCTGTTGGAGAGAGCCCCGTCCTTCTTGATCTCTAGCAAAGTTGTAGATACCGACAAAGACTCCCTCCCGATCAAGCAAAACTGCCCCTGTAGTTGACCCCCTCGCTATTTAACTCCTCCATAGAACCTTTTGCAAAACTTCGAAATTTATAAGGTGCTTTCTAGAATCCAAATGGTTGGCCACCAAACTGGAACTTGATGTTGGGACCACCACCGCCGCCGCCTTGCTGGAACATGAATGGATGACCACCACCGAAGGGGTTGCCCTGTCCCTGGAAGGGGTTTGGTCTCTCTTGAGAGTTAGGATCATCGCCACGGTCGAAACGAGCACGTAACTCGGGGTCGCTAAGAACTTCGTACGCCTCGTTTATGCTGGCCATCTTCTTCTCGGCCTCTTCCTTAGGGATACCTTGTTTGGCGGCCTTGTCAGGGTGAAAGATCTTTGATTGCTTGCGGTAGGCGGACTTGATTTGGCGTTCGTCGGCATCGTTCTCAACACCAAGCACCTTGTAGTAGTCCTTGGTCTTGCTGCGCTTGAGGGCGATATGAGCCTTGTTGAGAATGGGGTTGACCTTCTCCTTCTGATCGGGACGAATCTCGGCGGCCTTCTCAAGGGTAGCAATGGCGGCATCGTAAAGCTCACTCTTGAGTTGAGCCTTGCCCTTATGAAGAAGACCCCAGAAAGAGTCAGGGTTGAGTTGCAGCGACTCTTCACAGTACTTGGCGGCTTCTTTGTGACTTGACTATAACAGTGTCAGTGATATTTGGGGATTGAATGAAGTCGAAGGACTCACCTCGGTGTATGCTTGACAAGTCATCTCAATCAAGTTCTCCAATAGTTGGATACGAGCGGTCTTGGG